CCATGACCTTTCCAAGATGATGGAGAGTGGCCTAGCGATAACATCCGCCAGCTCCCTCAGCACTCGTGGGTGCATCCCATCGGGGCCCATGGATTTATGGATGTCAAGTTTAGACAAAAGATCTCTAACCTGATCCTCCTCCACCAAGGGAGAGTCTTCCTTTCTCCAGCCTTCCTCTCTTGTCTCCAAGGTCTGGAATTCCTCAGGACTGGCCTTAGCAGTGAAGACTGAAACAAAGGCAGCATTCAATAACTCTGCCTTCTCTGTATCTTTTGTCACCAGGGCACCTGCCCCATTCAGCAGCGGGCCCACATTTTCCCTAGTCTTCCTTTTGCTATTGATGTATTTGAAGAAGGCCTTCTTGTTGTCCTTGACATCCCTTGCCAGATTTAATTCCAGCTGGGCCTTAGCCTTCCTTGTCGCATCCCTGCACGCTCTGACAATGTCCCTGTATTCCTCCCAAGTGGCCTGTCCCCTTTTCCACATTCTGTACACTTCCTTCTTCTGTTGGAGTTTGGCCAGGAGTTCCTTGCTCATCCATGCAGGTCTCCTGCCCGCTTTGCTGGACTGAGGAAGCCCAAGTGGAACTGGCAGAAGCTGTAGATGTGTAGACATAACCGTATAAGATATGCTTACTCCTTTCTTGCAAGGGGATTAGTCATACCAGTTCAAAGCACCTTTATACAGAAAAAAATAATTTGTTTACCAAGGGATCTATGCTGCTTTGATTATATTGATACAAAGATATAATTCTTTAAGATATTATTGGGGGAGGTCTTTTGATCTGGGAATAACTGAAGAGATGTAACTTTGATATAGAAAGGACTAGAAGTTCAGCAGAGATACTTAAGATGTGAGAGTGCTAGACTTCATGTTCTGAATAAGTTTATCCTTTTCAGCACTGACACAGCTCAACTGATCATAGCATCAGAATTGTGCCTGCAGAAGCGTTTTGGCTGTTAGGATTGTCTGGATGCTCTCAGAATGACTTGAAGAATATTGTTCCTGTGCCTCCACTGATGCTATTGCTGGCAGACTTAAACCAGTAGTAACAATTAGGAGAACTTAGGAAAGCAGTTATAGTGTACCAAAGACTCATTACAAATTTTAAGAGTGAAAGCAAGAAAAAGAAATGATTGGATTTATGCAAGTCATAAGGAATGCTAACTGTAAACAATATGAACTCTAAAGGTTCTGTAAGCTAAGTTCCATTAGCATCCGTTATCATGAACTCAAAGTTAACATATTTATATATAAAGCATGGTCAAGATTCTTTGATCTTTACATGACCCTGGCTGGACCTAAGGGCCATTTGGGAAGACTTTTCCTTCAAAAGAGTATTAATAAACTTTTTAATTGTTTTATGTTTCTGTGTTGGTGGGAAAGGCTTGTGAACCTCTTGATAGTAAAGCAAATTTCTTAAATGGCCACTCCTTTGGGCTTATTCATGAGTTCTCAATAACATTCATTTGTATGGTACTAATTCTGTATTAGTGGCTCTTCTGAGCATTACAGTTCTGAAATGAAACAAAATACTTCAAATGCAGCAATCTTAGATGTTTCCATATATATTAAAATTTCTTTGTTAAATTCCATTGCCAAGTTATTTAATAAAGTCCCAAGAACTTATAAGACACATTTCTTAATTCAGTAAAATTTCTCTGGTGCAAATGACTTTTTCTTTGAACTAAACAATTAGCGAGTGGGTAACACAGTTATTTTGATCCTTGATGCAAAATCCAACTCCTGCTTTATCAAATCTAGTGAAAAATAGGAAATACGTGCATAAATCTCCTTCATTTGCACAGTTTTCTGTAATCAAATTGAGTATTAATTTCAGTTCCTTGTATCTTGCAGCTGGAGAGGAGCAGTGATAGAACCTGACCAAAGCACTGAACCTCCTTCTAGTAAAATAAAGGAACCAGAAAAACCTTCATCTATGGAAGCTGAAGGCCAGAAAGAACCAGGTAAGCAGACTAGTTAGATACCTTTATCTCTGTCGACTTTCATGGTCGAAGTTGTGCAATTCCTCCCGCCCCCCAATTTTTCCATCAATTGAAAAAAATTTCTGATGGAGAAGAGGATAGGAAGGAAAAATTGTATGGGAAGAGATTATTTACCTAGAACATCCAGGCCTTTCAGTGACCTTATTCTGCCATGGCAACTTACACTCTTGTTAAATCTTCTTCATAGCTTTGGTTGAATTGCAGTCTCAGTTCTCAGTATTGAATAAGGAATATTCTGATGCCTAAGTTTAATTTATCTGATCTGTCTAGTGTCATGGCAGGAAGGAGTTTGCTGTGGCTATAGTGGCCAGACTCTGTGTTTGAAGATTACAGAGTGTGTGCTTTACTTCCTGTTCCATGCAGCTAACTGCTACCTCTCTCCTCTCCTAGAGTGTATGTGTCTGCTTCGGAAAAGTGTTGGATGTCCTCTCTTGAGTGTTGCCTAAAACGTGTCCTTTTTCATTTTATCATCAGGACCATAACTACCAAGAGGTTTACTTACTTATATGAAAATTTATGTGCATATTACCTCAGGCTATGTATTTCTGCAGCAACATTTTTTCCTCTGAGATTTTGAAGCACGGTGATCCCAAGCTAGAGAGCCTTTTGATCTGGGGCTTCTCTGTTGCTTTTCCAGAAGATAACCTCTTCATGTTGAGGGGACTGTAAATCTGCCCTCAGCTTCATCTCTTGTTTAGTGAATTTTGTATGCTTTCCTCCATTGGCATCTTTTCAACTCATAGAAGAGAAGCCAGAAGAGCGGGCACTAAATATGTACACTATGTGGGTTTTTTTTTTTTTTTCTTTCTTTCTCTGTTTATGGAGGGCATACACTCCATTTGGGTCTTCTTGCCGAGGTTTTTGCTTTCCTTAAACAATTAGAGTGGCATTGAAAATAAGTTTTATTACCAAATCTTTGAAAAACGTCCTCTGGGAAGAGGCAGACGTACCTAACTCTTCTCCAGGAAAGAACAGTTTAAAGAGAGAGGGCTTGAAAGAGACAGTTTTCTTTTCCAGCAGTGGTTTTACTTTCCCTGGGTTGTGGAACAAAAGGAACTCTCTCCTTGAATTAAGTTGAACAACTTTTAAGGCTCACCAGGAAGCTGCAGAAGTTGTTTTTGCAGTTGCTGTCCTTGTGGAACCTGCTGTTCTACTTTCCAGGTTCATGTGAGGAAGTTCTGGTACGATAAACCCAGACACTGGAATAGTACAACGTGATGTATTTGGCTTGTGTTAGCTAAGTATAAATGGAATTAGTTATACTGCTCAATGTTTTCCACTCTAAAATTGTTTCTTCATTAGCTTGTGATTTTGCTAAACATCAGCTATTGGGATTGACGATTTTCATGGTGGATATGTAACACAGGCTCAGTTTTTATAGTAAATCACAAACATAAATTTCAACCATTTTGGGTAGTAGAACAATGGAAAAAGACATGGCTTTACCCAAGACAGAAAATACCATTTTTTTTCCCTTTCTTTTTAAATGAAAAGTTCAAGAGACATCATTTTGTGGAGTTGACTAAATTTAGCAGAAAGAAATGAATAAGGAATGGAAGATGAAGAAAAAATGATATGTAGTAAACTAGCTGAGGACTATACTCTTAAGCATATGTATACAACAGCTGAATTACAGTTAATTAGGTAATCTTAATTCTGGTATTTCCAGACTTTCAGGTGTTTGAGCTTTAATGATCTTATCTAGCAATTATGCATATGAGCATTTTAATGTTGTATTTGGAGAAGTTATTTTTTGTCAGGGAGAGATCTCTGTTTCCCCTTGGCTGAACTGCTGACTAGAAATACTGGCCGTTTATTCCATGGAAAAACGGCTGTACTTGGAAAAGAATAACCTTATGATGTTTTTTTCCTTTACGCTGATCGCTTAGTTTTAGAGGAGAAAAACAAACTTGATTTCAGGTAGAATTTAGCAAAATGATGTTTGGTATGGCTGTGTAACTCCACTGCAGAAGTCTTGAGCAAGGTGCTGTTTTTTTCCTTTTGTAGTGCCCATAAATGAACGTCAGATGGCTGTGATAGAAGCATTCCGCCATGCCTGGAAAGGATATAAGGATTTTGCCTGGGGACATGATGAACTGAAGCCTTTGTCCAAATCTTACAGTGAGTGGTTTGGACTTGGGCTTACTTTAATCGATGCTTTGGATACCATGTGGATTTTAGGCTTAAAAGAAGGTAATCTTTTTTTTCTCCTCTATTTTTTTTTCTTTTCTCTCTCCCAAATAATTCCATTCAGGAAGTATGTCCAGACTTCTTTGAAGAGAACACTGATTACATGTTGGTGATGAATTTAATTTTCCTATGAGGGTAAATATATATATATATATATTTATAAAAGAACTCAAACATATTCAAGGATACTTTTGCCCTTGAATAAGAATTTCTGCCCAAAACAAATTACATATAATTGTGGATGTTTCTGCTAGAAATTGAGGAATGGATTAGTAGGCCACCTGAGTGAGTTTCTGTACTAAACCCCTAGTGTTATCTTTGCGGCATTATGCAGCCGCTATAGGCTTTCTACCCATCAGCCTTATGTCATTAGCCTGGGTTCTCCTACTTTGTGTTTTATGGCACTATCTAGATTTAAGAGGTTAGTTTCTCTAAGGTGTCAGTGAAGGGAGAAGGAGAGTGTTCAGTACTTCCTTCCTGAACTACTGTACCATGAGTATGTTTTCATAGTTCATTCTGGAAGTGACTCTGTTTTTAAGAAGACTTTAAAGCCGATTTTAAAAACTTAAGCTGAAAATCCTGCAATTCCATTGCAGGAAACTTGCTTAATTAGTCTTCACAAGTGTGTTTTTGTTTTTTAAAGCAGTGTTTAAAAATTTCTGGAACTGGGTCTGGTTAACCTTGGTAGACGGCTCACTTTGCAAACTTTTAGAAAGGACGTGTTTTTTTTTTTGTGTCACGAGAGGAAGATCAGAGCTGCAAGAAAGGACACAATGAACAGTGGAAGTTTTTCCTGGCTGTTTCTTTTCTATCTCTGAAGTTTGTGTTCATGTAAAATATTAAATCAAAGAAATTCCATCACATGATTACCAGCTCTAGGCTTGAGCAGGCAGGCTGTCTTGAAGTTTCATCAAGTTGACAATGTGCTGCTTTTTTTAATAAAAAATTAATTTTGGACTGCATAGAGCTTTTAAAATAAATTATTAGTGATCCAGATGTGTTGAAAATGGGTTCTGCTTTTTCATATTTTATAGCAGTTCTCCTTTTACTGATTGCTTTAGAAAGCTCTTGGGGTTTCTTCTGAGTAACAGATGCTATACAAATGAAAGTTCTATTTGAGGCTGCCGATCTTTCTACAAGCTGATGAATGCTAAAGCTCTTGTGAAAGAGGACCTTAAATTTTCCTATCGTATCACATTGCTAGATAGTGGTAATGTCTAACACAGGTTTTCTTCCATGGTTCATCCCAGTAGACTTATATTTACCCAGCATCCAAGAAAACCCTGAATTTACAAAGCTGCATAAATTTTCCTGGCTAGTGTAGTTAAAAGAATTTCTTCAGTTCAGGATAAGCTACCTCAGATTTTATTCTTAAAACAGAATACAGGGGAGTTGCAGTTTTTTACTTTTGAGGATGAAGTATGAAATGGCTTAAGGTAGCTTAGCCCTCAGTGGTAGAGGCATCTGCTAACTCACTAGAGCCTGTGAAAAACCAGTCATTGAGAGATGCTGCTGAATAGCTTGCTATCAAATCTGAAGTGTCTCTTTTTCCATTCCTTTTTGAATTAGTTGCATGTTAAAGAACCATTTTTGTATCTGGGGGGAAAAATTGCAGACTGTCTTAGACACTGTGCGTCTTCGATGCCTGTGGAATTTATGGGTTAAGTGCTGAAGTAGGAGGAGGGCTCCCCACGACACTGCTAGACTGGAGGCATTAATGACTCTTAGTTGAAAATGTTATCTATTAGATTAAATCAAAGCTGTTATTATCTGTCAAAGAGACTTAATTTTAAAGATCAAAAGGCTTTTGTGGAAGTGTAACTGATTGTCTGTCCAATCAAATGGATGGACAGGCAAGATTTCTATGTCTGAACGATTTTAATAGAGAATTCTTTATTTAGAACTATTAGAAGCTTGTCATTTTGCTGGGTATTTTTCTCTGTACAGGTCTGTGTTGCACACAGAATTTTCCCCGCATGTGCCCTTCGTTTATTTTTCTACTTAAAATTATAATCTCTTACAGAGATATGAGTTAACTATATTGAGTATACGGAGTAGGAATGTCTCTAATCTGGTGGTTGGAACATGCTGGAAGTTCATCACAGATCTTCCTTTTATGTCTTGCAGAGTTTGAAGAAGCAAGAAAATGGGTAGCAAACGATTTAGTGTTTGATAAAAACGTGGATGTGAACCTCTTTGAGAGCACTATTCGTATCCTGGGGGGCTTGCTGAGCACCTACCATCTCTCTGGAGATAGCCTCTTCCTGGAAAAAGCAGTGAGTGATTTGAGTCTTACAACTGAAAGTGAAATATATATCTTACATTGGGCAAAGATGAGGGAAGATTCATCAGAAAGTTAAACATGAGCCCCCCCCAAAATCTGTTTCATCTTTAAAACAGTGGGAGAGGATTTCTTGTTAATCCTCTTAGCCTCTTAGCCTGTGCTTTTATTTGATGCCTGGGTAATGTCGGAGCCCTGCTATGTTTTATTAGGCATACATATAGCTGTTTTTTGCTAACAAAGAGCTGACCGTAATGAGAAAGTTATGAAGGAAAAGAGAAAATGAACAGATGGAAAAGAGTAATAGTTGTCTTTTTCACCTTTTCCGTGCCTCTTAACAGCTATCAGCCACCTCCTTAAATTAGTGCTCATCTAGGTACAGATCTGGTATAGGGCTTGCAGGTATGTGGTATAGGGCTTGCAGAATCAACTAAAGCATACGATACTGGGAACAAGGTAGAAACTATGTACTCCTTACTGTGAATGTGTCCATGATCCTTTTTAATTTTTGACTTCCTTGCACAGTCTACAACTAAGCTGCTCTTCTCTTTTTCTGCCTGCTTGCTGAAGAAACATAAAGATCTTTTTCTGTCCTGTGCTTTTGGGTTTTCTTTAGAAAGATATCGGGAGCAGGCTTATGCCAGCATTCAACACGCCTTCCAAGGTACCTTACTCCGACGTCAACATTGGCCGAGGCACTGCACATCCACCTCGGTGGACATCTGACAGCACTGTGGCAGAGGTGACCAGCATTCAGCTGGAGTTTAGGGAGCTCTCTCGTCTCACTGGAGATGAGAAATTCCAGGTATGGGAGAATCAGTCAAGACTTTTTTTTTTTTTTTTTCCTCCCTCCTGTCTACAGTACAACTGTTAATGCACATGGTCTCTGTGATCTCTCAGTGATGTTAAATGAGTTGTGAAGCTCTGGATAAAGAAAGGAATAGAAAAAAAATCATTCAAATTCTTTTCTTAAATAACAAAAGGTAATAGTGGAGGTGAAAACCTAGTATCAAAACTACTAAAAATTTATCAGGTTTATCAAACGTAATATGTTTGATACTAGGTTATCAGGTTTTGAAAAATACTAAGCTAAACAAGGGCTATTAAACTGTGCCTTGTTTAATGTTGTTAGAATTTTGTGTGAGGCTTCTGGATGCCCTTTTGTAAATGCTAAGAAGAAAACCATGGTGGTGCCCTCCCACAGCCCTCCAAGTAACTTAACTAAAACGTGAATCACTAGATCTGAGCCTTTATAGAAGGTTACGTTATAAGGAAAAATTAGTTGAAACGAGTAATTCCAGAGAACAAGAATAATTTCCACCGCTTTTTAATTTGGCAATTTTTTGGGGGGAGGATGGGAGCATGGTTTTTGTTTTAAAATGTATCTGTGGCTCATGTTTAAAAGAGGTGTAGTTATTTAAGGAAACTGTAACTACAGCATGGTTCATGGAGTTGTTTTTAGCTGTATTCCTAGTTTGCAAATATCTGTAAATAAAGATGAATGTCCCATGGCATAGTATTGGCTTTAGAGCAGAGTTACAGCACCTCTGAAGAATATAGGTGAGCTTTGTATTAGGGGAGGAAATGGTTACATATATCTCTGAGCACTTAAATGTACCCAGAACATGGTATTTTATGAGTCAGAAAGTTTGAAATGCTGTATTCAATATATGGTATGAGCTGAACTTGATATCCCTGATGCTAATTTAATGAAGAATAGTTAAAGACTTGTTATTGGCCGGAAGTTATTAGTCAGTTTTGTGTATCATTTGTGTATGTGATTTACATTCACTTTTTGGTTTTTTTTCCCTCGTAGAAAGCTGTAGATGAGGTGATGAAGCATGTTCACACCCTCTCAGGGAAAAATGATGGACTAGTGCCTATGTTCATAAACACCAATAGCGGGCAGTTCACTCATTTGGGTGTCTATACTCTGGGAGCCAGAGCTGACAGCTACTATGAATATTTGCTCAAGCAGTGGATTCAGGGTGGGAAAAAAGAAAATGAGTAAGTTCTTTGCACTTTTCATATTAATATGAGAATGATGCAAGCTAGAAAACTTTCCATTGTAGTTTGCTGCTTAACTAATAGTGAGCTATGTACCCAACAGTCCTCTAAAGATATCACTGAGCTTTTACGGCAAGCTAGGTGAAAAAGAGAATCTGTGGTAATTTGATATAAGAGCACAGAATTAGGCTTAGTCTCAAAACTTCTCAGAAAATATTTCTTCAGTGCATCAGGTGTGAGGAGGGTTACAGACAGGAGAAGAGAATGAAGTCCTTGCAGTACACGTGGAACATACATGCACTGGCTTGGGAAATACCAGTGATACTTTATTTCACCAGTGGTGTCTGATTCCACCCTTCCTCACCCTCCAAGGGGTGGTTGGGGAAAGGTGACTCCTGCTAGATGGTTGAGGTAGGAGAGTGGTCCTTTCACTTCTTTTAGAAGAAAGAAAAGTCATAAGTTTGTCCATGCAAACTTTGTGTTAGATCTGTTATGTTTCTCTTACTTGTGCTGGATAAGTAGAGGGGAGTGTTTGGAAGGATCAGAGGAATTGGAGATGCTTTATAGTGGGAAAGGAAGGTTTCCTTCAAAATAAGACAGAAACCCAACCAGTTTTCATCTTTATACACTAATTCTGTTGGACTTTTTTCTGCTGAGGGGTTTAATGCACGTGGAGAGTCAATATGCCTCGGTGAGGCTTTTCTTTATATTGGCGGATGCATCTCTACAAAGCAAGTTTGCATCACTGCTTTTTCCACGCTATACTTTCACTGCAAACTGAGAACCATTGTCTCTGGGACCATGAATCGTGCCTTTTATCAACATAAAATGGACTTACTCAACAGGGTTTTCTTACACCACAGTACTTGCATGGTAGCTATAATTAATTCTGAATTGATGGTGACTTTGAGTTGTTGTCAATTTTTGTATTTAATTGATATAATTCTTTAGACTGAAAGAATGCTAACTGGAAATGATTTTAATTCATAGACTTTTGGAAGACTATGTGAGAGCCATAGAAGGAGTGAAAAAGCATCTTCTTCAGAGGTCACAACCCAAGCAGCTTACCTTTGTAGGAGAGCTTGCTCATGGCCATTTCAGTGCCAAAATGGTAAGAAGTACACCTGCGTTATTTTAAAAACAAAAATAAAAAGGTACTCCCCACACACCCCCCAAATACAACTATTGACAGCTGTTGGGCTGTCACTCACTGAGCAAAGACATGTTCTCTGGGCATGTGAATCAAGGGCTTTGACATGCTGCTGGAATATGAGTAGGAAGAGCTTTTGAGATTGCACATACATCTGGTGCGCCTAAGAAACTGAAGCGTATGTGTATGTGGGGGGGGAGGATTACTGCAGGTCTGTGGGCTGGTATAGTCCTGTTTTAAAAGAAAGCGAGGACTATAACCAGTATAATGGCAGTACTGAGTAACCAGTTTGCAGATAGTGGTCATTTGTGCAGACCAGAGGTCATCTCTTTGGCTTCTGTTTGGTTCTCTGAGTCACTGTAGAAATTACATTTATTTTCCTGCAGTAGTGAACTTTTTTTTCCAGGCATTGGTGTTTGGGGTTTTTTTGGTTTTGTTTTTTTTCCCCTGTTTGTTCATGGAGTTGCCATATCTGAAACTGTTAAGACAGTGCCTATTTTTTTTTATTATTATTTGTGTTTTCCATAAATCAAAAATATGTGGTTGCTTGCATACCTGGCTTTTCAGACTTACCTTCAAAAGAGCAGGTGGTCTGATATTGTGTATTGCGTGTAAAAAAATCTGAGAACTTTGGAAGGTTGTCTCCATTCAGGACACCTGTGGTCAGTGGCGCAGAGTCTAGTTGGAGGCCTGTAGCTAGTGGTGTCCCCCAGGGGTCAGTCCTGGGTCCAGTATTGTTTAACTTTTTCATCAGTGACCTGGATGAAGGTACAGAGTGCACCTTCAGCAAGTTTGCTGATGATACAAAAGTGGGGGGAGTGGCTGACACACCAGAAGGCCATGCCGCCATTCAGAGGACCTGGGAGTGCTGGTGGACAACAAGTTGAGCGTGAGCCAGCAGTGTGCCCTTGTGGCCAAGAAGGCCAATGGTCTCCTGGGGTGCATTAGGCGGAGTGTGGCCAGCAGGTCGAGGGAGGTGATCCTCCCCCTCCGCTCAGCCCTAGTGAGGCCTCACCTGGAGTGCTGTGTCCAGTTGTGGGCTCCCCGGTACAAGAGAGACATGGTGCTACTGGAGAGAGTGCAGCGGAGGGCTACAGAGATGACTAGGGGACTGGAGCATCTCTGCTATGAAGAAAGGCTGAGAGAGCAGGGCCTGTTGAGCCTGGAGAAGAGAAGACTGAGAGGGATCTTGTCAGTATGCATAAGTATCTGAAGGGGGGGGTGTCAAGAGGATGGAGCCAGCCTCTTCTCCGTGGTGCCCAGCGACAGGACAAGAGGCAACGGGCAGAAACTGAACCACAGGAAGTTCCATCTGAACCTGAGGAAGAACTTCTTTCCTGAGAGGGTGACAGAGCACTGGGACAGGTTGCCCAGAGAGGTTGTGAAGTCTCCTTCGCTGGAGATATCCAAAACCCGCCTGGACGTGATCCTGGGCAATGTGCTCTAGAGGACCCTGCTTGAGCAGGGAAGTTGGAGTAGGTGATCTCCAAAGGTCCCTTCCGACCTCAACCATTCTGTGATTCTTTTCCTGCATTTAGGGTTAGTGAATGAACTTAGTATGCTGTTTGTTGTAGGGAAGACTTCTGAACTGAACTCTCTGGTCTTAATCTTTGTATTCACTCTCTTTAGAATGCACTTTTATATTTTTCAGTTAAAGATCTTATGCAAGTGATAGTACTATATGTGTGTGGATATTTTTTTTTTTGGAAGTGATGTATTATTAATGCATGTGTACACTTGCACATACTTTTTTCAGATCCTGCGCTGAACTTCAGTGATTTCTTTGACTTGTTTGGTTTCTGGACTTATTGTTTCAGATGTTGAGTTCTGTTCTTCTGCCTGTGCTTCTAGCATCTGAATTTCCCAAAGCCTCTCCCAGAGTGCTGTTAGTGAGGCCAGAGTCTGGGTTTTGCTTAGAGGGGGCTCCCCCACCTCAAAATCTGACAAGATTCAATTCATTTAGAATTCATTGACTTGGCTGTAGGTTTCTGCATGAGTGAATATACTTGCTTTTGTCCCAGGGAGTCAGGAATTCGATGTTTCATCAATTATCTGTCTAAAAGGCTTGACAGGTATCTTATCCTTCACTTTTCCAGTCAGCCAGCATGTTAGTCTAGTATGTTATGTTGACCCTCACCACCCTCAGCCATTTCCGGTAGGTTGGACAGGGCATTAAGAGGTTAATACAGGTGCTGTTTGTGCACCACGGCTTTTTCACTATATTTTTTTGAGTGATGAGAGCTGAGCTTTTAATTTTGAATGATAAGAATCATTTGAAATTCTCTATGTGACACTAATGCGTAATTCTTACATTCATAACACCAGTGGTGGGTTAGCTGCTGAAAGAGGCCAGTCAATCTTGTATTGCAACTGGAGCTGAATTTTGGGCATTTTATATAATGCTGTTCTCAGATGTGTTTATGAACCGACTTTGACAGTTGAGTTCTTCTTGGAAATGTGACTGAATTCATTTTGGTTGTTTACAAATACTGCACAGTTGTTGTGATAATGCTGTTCCCCTTGTCCTTTGAACATATTGTTTACTTCAGCATGTAAAAGCTGAGAAAGGAGTGTCCCTGCAGTCCTTTCATTGCTGCTGCTTTGTGTTGGGCTACCAAGCACGAACGGTGCACCGTATCATCCTCAGATACCTCTTTTCTGTGATACCTCTTTTCTGTGAAGATGTTTTGGTCAAGGTGTCTGGTGGTTTTGGCACCCAGCTAGAAGAGAATAATTCTCGGAGAGCTGGTGGTAAGAATGGGAGACAGCTGTATCGCAGACCCTATGCAAGAGCAGCGCTCTTGTAGCGTTGATGCCCTATAGATGAAGGGGTAATAGCTTTTTGTTATTGCGAGCAAGTTGCAAGAAGGGGGCAAACTTTCAGGCAGAAATCTGCTTGCAAGCTTGTCACTGTTTTCCAATTGTATCAGTGGATGAAATAAAAGCCATTTTCTCTCTTCAAGTACTGTCTTGTCTTTCATTACTCTCTGCAACAGTCATCTTAGCATTACTGTAAATCTCCTTCAGTGGACCTCTCCCCTTTCCCCTTTGTTTTCTGTGGCTAGCTCTGATCTCCCTCTGGTCTTACCTCAGTTTTTATTTTAACATATTGACATTTGAGAAATAGATTTCTTATGCCACAGGGTTATTTTAACTTGCTCTGTTATTTTGCTTTCTGTTTTGATGGGTGTCATGGCTGAAATATTCTGAATCAGTAAACACTTTACTATCATCATGGGTATTTTTCTGAGAACACTCAACCTTTGAAATCTGCTAGGATCTGTTTTACGTGCTGTCTCAAATTATTTTCTTTCACAAACTAATTTTAACAGTGGTATTCATATTCCCTTTTTAAGTTTAATTGTTAAGTTCAGATGATGATCAGTTTGTCCCTTACTTAATTGCCTTTATTGAGAAAGCTTGAGATGATTTTTTTTCATGAAATGGCATAAAATGGACACTTTTGGTAAACCAAAAGACTCTCTTCCCCCCAACCTCAAAGCTTTCTTGGTTTCAGTAATTTATCATAATTATAAAAAAAAAAAAAAACAAGCAGTCTTGCACCTTTTCCACATTTATGAAATCCTTGTAATAATGCTTCTTGCATTATGAAATCCTTGTAATAATGCTTCTTGCATTACATCAGCTTGTTAAAAATTTGCCCTTGAGATGTTAGTATCTGAAATGTAAAGAGACATGATCTGTGCTGTAATATTATAACATTCATTTTTCTTCAGTTGATTTGTTTATTTTTTCCAGTAAGAGTTGTTTTATTTTTCAGGATCATTTGGTTTGCTTTTTGCCTGGTACTTTGGCGTTGGGAGCTCACAATGGATTGACTGCTGATCATATGAAATTGGCTGAAGCCTTGATGGAAACCTGCTACCAGATGTATGTGCAAGTAGAGACAGGCCTGAGTCCAGAGATTGTACACTTCAATCTTCATGCACAAAAAGGCCACAAAGATGTGGAAATCAAGGTGAACAGCTAGCTAACCTGAACTATAATTTGATGTCTGTTTGAGTTGGTTCTGTGTCTTTGTTCAGCTGTTGAAACACGCAGCAGGACATCAGTGATGTGCTCTATTCTTACTGAGCAGCTTTGCAGGTGTACCCTAGCCCTTTTTTTTTTTTTTTTTTAAATGACCACTGTAATGTATTTAGAAGCTGAATTTGCCTAATAAATCATATGGGGTAGATAGAGATGGGAAGTAGTCTGTCCGCACTATCTTTCTCCCTGCATGTGTGTTGGAGGAAACTCCCTATCTGAATTATTCTTTTATTTTTTTTTCCCCCTCCCTCTCTTGCAGCCTGCAGACAGGCATAACTTGCTGCGACCAGAAACTGTGGAAAGCCTTTTTTATATGTACAGATTCACCGGAGATAAGAAATACCAAGACTGGGGCTGGGAAATCTTACAAAACTTCAATAAGTATACACGGGTAAGGTCAGCCTATAATGACCTAATTGTTTCAGGACTGTATCTTCTCTGTCTCACTCTCACTGTCTCACCCAAGAACTTCTGAAACTTACTGTCTGTCAAGAGTCATCAAATATTCTGTGAGGAGATTCTTAAGAACCAAAAAAAAAAACCAAAAAAAACAGTTCATGCAGTGCATTAACATTTATGCTACACTAAATACTTAGTACATTAAGGGAAAGAACTTGTATTATGTGGATAAAAAGTAAAGTGAAGAAGCTCTTCACAGACTATCAAAGTGTCTCTATGTCTTCTAGGTAGCTATTAAAATCTCTGCTGTCATCTTTTTAGGATTCAAATGTTGAGAGGGATCTGGCTGGACTGATAACAACACTTTGAAGTTGCCAACAATGCTTCAGTAGGCCTAGAGGGTTTTTTGTATTCATTCTGAAGACAGTGATCATGGAGAGATCCCTTTGTGCTGTGGGGTCCAGATGCTAGTGGTCATTAAATATCCATCATCCGTTCTTAAAAGAATAGGTGTGCTACTCTGACCCACTCTAATGTAGAAATTATGGTATTTGCTTCCTATACATTTCTCCAGAAATTTCTGTGGGGTGTTCTTTGTGATAGTTCTTTTACATTAAGCATAAATGGACATTTTGCTTCATTTTCTTTCTAGTTGTCTGGTAATGTGTTTTAAACTGTACTATTTATTTTTCCTGTAACTGAAGTTTTATACAGAAATGAAAAATAAGTACTTGGCGCTTTCTTGTTCTTTTTTACACAGGTTCCTACAGGTGGTTATACTTCCATTAACAACGTCCAGAATCCCAGTAATCCAGAGCCACGAGATAAGATGGAGAGCTTCTTTCTTGGGGAAACACTCAAATACATGTTTTTGCTGTTTTCAGATGACATAGACTTAATCAACCTTGACAAATATGTATTTAACACAGAAGCTCATCCACTCCCAATTTGGATGCCAGCATAGACTTGGTGTCAGTAGACCTTCCAATGGTGGCATTTTTATCTTCAAGTCACTTTACTTTTCAGGGTTTGAAGAGAGATGCTGTATTTGCCCCTTTCTTGGTTTAAAAAGAATGAGCAAAGCCTTTGGGAAAGCATCTCTGGTTTAGAGAAGTCTCATCAGTCTTAAATCTAACCCTTGTGCTTTAGTTCTGGGATGGACAAACTGTGCCATATTAAGCTGCTTTGCCTGGTATTGATGATTAGGTTGAATAATTGTAATGTGGACCATGACATTCACTGGGCTCTGGTGGACCAGAACTCACTTGTCAGTCTTACTAAATGATAATTAAATATCAGGAATTCAGCAAGCTGTCTTACAGCACAGGATTGCCCCTGGAGAGAAGGAATAAACCTAAAGATTTCTGGTTTATTCTGGATGTACTGAAACACTTGGTTTATGGCGCCATTCCTTTTAAGAACCTGTAGTGTTTCAGATGGTAAGTGGAATAAACAATGAACTGTGCGGCTGTCCCAGGTAAAAGTGAAGGTACCAGTGTTGTTACTGATACTCTGATCTCATTCCAGACTGTTGAGCTATGCTGCATTATGCTAGCTGAAGAAAGTTGCAGCAAAGCACCTCTCATACAGTATCTTAATTTTCTAGAGCACTTTGAACAATCTGTTCAAGCTGTGGCTGAAATGAATGATTGAAAGGAAGTAGAGAATTTGCTGCTGGTTTGGCTCAAAATGGTATATAATTTTGTAGAGGTATTGCAGTTTTTTAACTTATCTGCAGGAATGCAGGAGACAATGTGAAACAAGTGAAACTACACGTTTTATATATTATTTGCATCAGTTAGACTCAGGTATTCTGACTGAAAGCTGCTTTGTGAGGTTGGGCACTCGGAAAGCTTGTGAGCACATTAGGTATAATTCCAGCTCAACCTCTTCCATCCCTTCCTGTCCAGATCTTGCATATTAAGGTGTTTGCTGGCTCAAAACAGGCTTATAATTGTACAGCAAAATTCATGCTTTTTTTTTTTTTTTTTTTTGACTGAGGGGAAATTTGCATTTCTTCTTAGTTTTTCTTAGCACTACCTTGGGTGGAAGTATTTTCATCAGTAGTATTAAAGGCAGGCAGTCTAAATATATTATGGCAGTTTCTAGTCCCAGTAGATTTAATGAAGTGTGTTTAGTTACTCGAAGGGAAAGCAGACAACAGGTTTGTTCATAAAAGAATCTTACTGAAGCTCTGGGGTCTTTCATTTTTACATGTGCAAACAGGTTTTAAATCATCAAAGTTTGAAATGAGCTTTCTAAAGTGCTTTACCTTTTGGTTTTGTAGCTACTTGAACAGTTCTGTATTCAGAAATAAGTTCTCAAAAATGTGCTTTTTCATATTTTTAAAGAGGTTGTTCTCACCAAAATGTCCTTTCCCTTCATATTAATGGGAGCAGTGGGAAGCTGTATGCAGGTGCATGGCAGTGAGAAGGAGGTTCAGTCCCGTCTAAATCTGGGGCTATGAAACAGAAATAACATAAATTGGACTATAACAGTTAATTTTCCAGTAGATATGGGGATTATGTGTATTTTACAGTATCTATAACCTTTGTTCTATTAAGTAAGCTGCATCTTTATTTGTTTTATGCTGATCAATTCTGTTTGCTGGCGTCAGAAGTTACCCTTTGGACCACTATTCAAGTCTTGTAAAGAATGTTTGTCATTCCATTTACTAATGATGGCTTACGGAAATTGAGAATTTTTACACGTTATTTACATTTACCTTTTCTGTCAGCAAAGGGACCCTGGGTTTAGCCAGAAATGACAAGTTTGTGCAGAGTGTTAATGTTCCTGCAGTCCGAACACCACAAGTAACCCTGGTTTAACAAGTTTCTCACTTCAGTGTGCAGTGGGCTCTAGTAGTCATAGCCTGAATAACTGATTTGTTACTAAGGCTTTTGTTTTCTTTGACGTAACAGTAAAGAAGAAAAATGCCATTGAAATGTAGGAGGAAACACCTTCAATGTTTTCTTAACTCTGTTTGTGGAACAGGTACGGGTTGCTGTGGAGTTGAGCTTTGGCTAAAAACTGAAGGGGTTTATGTGGGGAAAACATGAAACAAAAAAACCCAACTCAGTGGGACTGCCTACTCCCTTTTGCTGCTTTGGCTTTGTGTCTTCGATTGAAACTAGTATTAAACCCCTAATTGCTGATTTTGCCATGGGCTATAAGAATTCCAGAGTGTGGTGGTGTTTCACCTATAGGACAGCTCTACTAAATAGGAATAAAGAGTTAATTCTTAGAACGTGAGCACTTTTAAATGTATTCCACCAAAAATCTTCTATTCTTGAAGTCCTATGTTAGTCTTAAAAATTAGTCAACTCCACAAACGGCACTATGGAGTCTGTGTTATAATTGCCTTTTGTCTCGTACTTTGCTTGAGAGTTATAAGACTTGGAATTAATCCATCTCAGAATGAGTAAAAGGGAGCAGGGAAGAATTAAATCCTCACTTTCCAAATGATTTTTGTCTTTTAGTTGAGCCTGCTGGTCTGACTGATTTCTTCTCTACCTAATTCATCCTAGGAAACTTGAATTCTCTTTGCAAAATACAGCTTTACTGTCCTAATCTTTTAAATTTGAAATGATTATTCTTCAACTCTCTGCTTAGTGTTGAAAACAAATGATCGAATGATTATTTCAGACTCCTGCATCACACGTGAAATGCCAAGAACCTAAATAATCTGGTAGAAGCTCACTGCGTCTTCCTGTTCTTCTGCAAAGTCACTTTAATGTATTTTTACTTCCTTAACATGGTACGTTGTGTCAGATAGGCCATGAATTTCACAGGCTCATCTCAATAGCACTGTGCATCTCCCTCCCCAGCCTAAGAGAACCTTTGTACATCTCTGAAAAGTTTTCCTTCAGGTACTCTGTGGTTCTGCCTTAACTGCAGGGTGTAGAATCCAGCTCGGTATTTCAACATATTGACACACTTCCGATGCTTAGATAATTGAATGTTGTGAAAAAAACATGTCTTCAGCCCTTGGTCCTGTCGTTTTGCTCGGAGAGCTGCCTTGGTTTCTCTCCAAGAGCTTGAGTGCCTTGCCTAAACCAAACCAAAACCCCACCCAGCTACACCATTGATTTATGCTTTCATCGAGAAATGGAAACAGGTATGGTCACAGCCGTACAGTACCACACAGCTGTAGAGCTTGGAAACCGCACACTCTGGAGTTTATGCCAGAGCTCAGAAAGAAAAAATAAATACTTTTTTGCTCAGAGTTAATTAGGGTGATGGATGGAAGCATATCCAAGCATCTATTCTAACCATTTGAGAACTGCAGCTTCGCTACCAGTCTTGGAAACTGGGAGTTTTTCAAGGTGCTTATGAGGGCCCCTCCATGTTTCACATGAGTCTCTGTTACCATGTAATGCTGAAAATCTTGCTAAGCTCAAATACAGCTGTATTCACTTCTTCAAATACTAGGTAGCAAACCAGCTTTGCTTCCCATTCGATATTTCAATATGATACTGCAGTGATGAGGGACTGCAGACAGGACAGGTTTTTGCAACTAAAACATGAAACAGTTCTGTGCATTTCTCCTGCCCTTTAAAACTAGTTACTTGCTTCAGCTGTGCTCTCCCAGAAATAATCCTGCAGGCAAAACAGCTCCTTATTTCCAATGCTACACTCAAAATTTTCAGCCTGACATGACAGGTTAGCTCTGTGCTGCTATCTGGCAAGCTTGTTGCTGCAATGGAAGAGTTGAGAGTTTCCTGGGTTTTTTGCATTCAGGAAGAATGGTTTGTTTTTGTTTGTGTGTGGTTTTTTTTCTTTTTGGTCTCTCTGAGGTATTATTAGAGGTTATGGGCAAACTGGCAAAATCAAAGTCCGAAGGCCTCAGCTTTCAGTGAAAAAACAAATGTGTTCTATTGAAATTAATGCCTTGAGCCTGCCTGCTTGCCAGGGAAACGTGCTGATTTTCCCGTTCCGTTTTAAGCTCTTGATTGAAAGGCTTATGACCAGAGAGACAGTTTTTATTATTTGCTGGTACATGATGAATAGTATAAGCCTCTTCTCATCAAAGCCACTGCTATGGATCTGAAATCCTTGTGGGGCTTCATCCGTGGATGGTGCTCTCTATCACTTACTGCCTGCTTACGTTCCACTCTCTTCTTGTGTTCAGTCATCAGCACTGTTTCCAAGATGTGCAAGAACTGTGTGACTGTTGGTTGGGTTCTTCCCTCCAGCTCACAGAGCAACCCACAACCAGCATTTTCCACTTAAATCCTTCTTCCTTGTCCAAGGTTTCAAAGTTGCTTATGGAAGCCTGCTGCAGTGGCTTCAAACATCTCCCAACAGTTTCTGAAGCATCTATTTTTAATTATTTTCAGCATTGCTCATCTTTCATCTGCATGTAAGTCTGTTAATGTGTCAAAGGCCACATATATCTTTGCTTATCCCTTTGCCATAGCATCTGAAAGCCTTCAGTAGTCATCTTTCTGTACAACAACTCAAACACTTGATCTGTGTTTTTTAGACTACACTGATTCCTTTGGGGCAAGTAGTATCTGCAAGAAGAGAATAACAGCTCTGTAGAATCACTTAACTGCATAGTTAGAAGAGTATTAAAGAACTTGTATCAAAAGGCACCTAGGCATCTTTGCTCAAAGGCACAAAACAAGCCACTGTCCAAAGGTACTAACTTACTTGGAGGATACTTTCCAAGAGACTCATGCTGAATGTGGCTGCTTTAATGCACTGTAAATCTCAGGCAGATTCTCACTGGGTTGGTTTAATTAGGGAGCCTGCTTGCTAGGAGCTAAGGCTGTTAGAAAGGCAATATAAGCAAGAAGTAATTCTCCTTGTCTACAGAGACATCCACCATCATTATCTTTTTCTCCTGGGGTCCTGAATAATTGCTATGGGATCGCAGATCTCAGTTCAGAAAAGTCTTGGTTTTAGCACCTCAGTCAGGTTAGACGTGGGAAGAGTGTGTAAGCCATAGCGGCAACAAACCTGAAGCCTGACTTTTTAGGATGGCTTTTAGGTCATCAGCTCTTAGCAAAAGTGTCCAAGGTTTTCCTACAGCATGAATGCAGAAGATTCAAGTCTTACTGAGGATTGTAGTTCCATTAACAAACAGTCTTAAAAGATGTCTGCTTTCTGGGGGTGCAGTTTGACTAATTGTCTTTTGCTCTTTGTTTGTAAATAGCTGAAAGATCTGAATAATGGACCTTATCTGTTCCTACTCAGTGGGGGAGAGGCTTTGCTATTCTGTGCTTAAGAGCAGGGAAGAGGTAGGTGGGTTTTATGCAAAAACCTTTTGTCAGCACCTGAATATTGTGAAATAACATTAGTGACTGACGAGGTAGTAGCGCTGGGAACCAACTGTACTGTGATAGCAGAAGGACATAGCAGTGCAAATACTTAACACAAAGCCTTGTTTTTGAGCAAGGTAATAGAAGTTGAAGCAATGTTGTGACTTGGCCTGTATAAGTACTGTTAGCATTTGATTTGAACTGTGAGGCTCTCCCCAACCCATATAAATCATTGTAAATTGATCAACTGAGACATTCAATCAATTACTGTGTTGTAGTATTTTTGCTGTTATGCTACTATTTATTGGTACACAGTAATTCCAGTAGGTAAGGATCAGCCTGTTAATGTGCAGAGATGAATTTATTACACCTTGAAAGGGAAGAACTATCCTTTTTTTAATCTTCTTTGGTTGTACTACCAAGCCATGGAATTATATCACTTTAATAAACTTGTAATTTATTTTAAAAAGATGTGAAAAATGTCTCAATTGGAAATGCACCTTACTGGTCACTAACATTCAGCTCCTGAGTGACAGCAGTACATGCTGGCATTATTTTTTATGAATTGCTTATCCATATGACATCTCTTGCGTGACTGATCAGTACTGAGAATGTGATTAAAAACACTGAGTGAGAGGCTGATGGAGTCTTCTTGTGTATAACTGGTCACTGGTGGAATCCCCTGTGAAGTGTTGTAAGTGATGACTAGTGGAAAAGTATAAATATGAGCATCTGATGTTTTATTTGTCTAAAACCACTTTAACTTCAACCTGCAAACATATTATTAGGGACAGTGATGGTACCTGTGTTCAGAGGAACAATACCTCATGTATTAACAGAAACATTATATCTGTCCTGATGCATTCTGGGAAGCACATTTTAAGCATCACTGTTCTTGAGGCGCAGGAGAGGCTTTCGAGCAGGCTTTTATTCTTTCCTGTACAAGGAAAGAATACAATGACTTCTCATTCTATACAAGTAGGCATGAAACCCATATAAAGTGGTTTTGGCTTCAGTCAGTGATTTGGCCTTTCGCTTTTCTTGTGGCGCTTGATTAGGGGCAGTATGGACACTTCAGGTAGATGACTTCTCATCGTCTTGGCAGAGGAGATAACACTTTCTCAAACAGGACAAATACAGCTCAGCAGGCTGTGCTCTTTGTGCCTCCTGTCACAAATGGTGGCAGCCTAGCACACCAGATGGATATGTTCATGGTGATCCACCTGCAGAATAACCAGATGACTTCTCCCGTGCTTTTTCCATCCTTGCAGATTTCACCCAGTCGTTAATGACGCTTGCTTCTAGCTTGCGTGCCTCAATGACAGACGGGGGGTCAGCTGGGTTACGTCCTCTACAGAAAGCAAAGCAATATGAGCAAGTTAGTGGAGAGCCTCAAAACATTTCATGAGGTCTGAGCCTTTGGGTTAAGTTTTTTTTTTTTTTTTTTCCCCTCTTGCACTGAGAAAGCCAAGCCAGAAAACCAGAGGACAGAAATTGCCTGCTTAATCTTCTGTTTTGTACTTCCCTGGGAAAACAAATTGCAACATAATACCTAACTGGAGAGGCAGCCAGGTTGCCAGGAAGAGAGTACTGAGCTCCCACGGAGCTTCAGTAGTTACAGCTAATGCCAAAGAGAAACTGGACTACTTTACATGGTTGATTGACACAGGCTATCAAACACTTGTGCTAATTCCAGTACAAGCAGCACATGTTCTAAACAAGTGTATGAAGACAATAGTTTAGTGCTGAGCCTTGGACAAAGAGCTCTTCCTTAACAGTGTGGCTTCCATGAGGTCCATACAAACCCTGTACTAGGGAAGAAGATTGCTCTTCCACAGTTACGCCC